GGGATAAGGATAAATTGATTGAATAAAGATTCGTTTGAGATTGAGGTAGAGAATTTTTTCGTGTACCTATAAACTTTTTTAGATATATGTGTATTTAGTAATTCTTTTCAAATTATTTTTTTTAAAGTTATAGAAAATCATAGAAATCTATAATAATTTTATATATAAAACAAAAAATCTCATTTTGAAACTTTCTGACTGTGGTTTTTATAAAAAACATGTAATATTTAATATAATTATAAAATTATTTATTAAAACTTAATTTCATATAATTTAATTATATTATAATTGATAATATTTTAATAATTATAACAAAGGTAAATAACCTAAATTATTAAAAAAAATATTATTTATTTTAATAATTATATATCTTACAATATTTTTAAATTTTAATTAATAAATAATAAAATCTATCATATTTTATTTATAATACTTTTAAAAAATCAATAACCAAATATCAAAATGACATTCAAGATTCAACTATAATTACAGTATAATATACACTTTAACATAACCACAATCATAACTATATAGTTAGAGTATTTCACAACAATTTAAAAGCATCTTAAATCCACCAACGAGGGGTTAGATCAAGTGGCAAGCGACTTGTTCCAGCTTAAACAAGGTCTCGAGTTCGAAACCTTGTGTACGCAGCAGCCTTCGTTGGGAGACCCACCCACCATTCTGGTGCGCCACAGCTGGTCGAGTCCAGAGTAGTCGGAGCGAAACCTCGGATATCGGGCGGGAAACAAAAAAAAAAAGCATCTTAAATCCGAAGCCCGTAAGGGACATAAACATTCCCACCCCAGACATACGCCGTACTTTACAGTCACTAGATAAATCAAAAGCCCCGAAACTGGCAATAGAAAAACCAGAAACCAGCAACTTCTCAACAGGACTAACAGGCCAATCTAACGTGTTGTAAAGTCCTGCCAATTACCACACTCTCAAGGCGACTCTCACTAATAGATATTCTGTGATTATGCTCCACCCAGATAAATGCATTGCAGCATCAAAGCGTCCTGGTATTAGTTTACCTTGAGAATTCCTACCCTTGCTCATAGACAGATACCATATCTATTTGCGGGACCAACTTGATGGTTGTCGCACAATACTCAGTAAACTCTGCTCCGTCTGCCCAACCAATGTACTGTAGCCACATGCAAAGAACAGGTGCTCCCTATCTTCAGCAGCTTCACCACACAGAACACAAGTATCAGTCCCAGTCATACCCCTTTTCCTCGGGTTATCCTTTGTTTTTAGCCT